AACACCGAATCGATTGAGAAAACAATAGTGAGAGAGGGAAAATACCTCAAGAAATTTTCTCGCTAACTCTTCTTCTCGATTCCTTAATTTCTCTGGGAATTTCGGCTCGATAAAACAAAACTTTTCAACTTGTTCGACAAGAAAATTGAAACGAGTTTCTTGGATTTCTCGATTTGGGCTCGCACTTTTATAGGAATGGGCCTAATACATTAGAATCCAACACTAAAGTAAAAGCCCATACGCTCGTTTCAGGTAACATGGTGGCCGTACAAAGTACACCGTTTTCATTGTCCCGATCACAAAAGCAATATCAATTTTTTTACCAAAACCGTTACATTCAACTTTTTTTATACGATTTTTTTTTCATAGTTACCTCTTAAATCTTTGCATTATTCTATAATCAAAGTTACAATTGAAAATATTATACCGCCCTAGGTTACCAACCAAGCCCAATATTTCTTTAATGATTCCAAGTCCGGGTCGAAACCGTAATCTCCGTGAACATATATTCTATTTTTTTGGGGAAATATCCTTCCTCTCAAACGAATTGAATTTGAAGCACTATAAAACTAATTTCATGTGCTGAACTACTAGTGTAGAACACTCAAAATGTCTTTTTCAAAAAAAAAGAGAGATAAAGATAAACTCCGACAGAAAAAATGGATTTTTAAGTCTGAACATCTACTATGACTTGGTATAGAATGATGAGTTTATTGAGTTAGTTTATTACATAATCATATATACTATGAACTAAATGCATTTTTTCTCATCACCATTTCATGTCCTAAAAAGTTGTGTTACACAAAAACAAAAACAAAAACAGAGACCATAGCTTAACGTAAACCGAGAAAACATAAGTTTAGACATGAGATTCCTCTGAAACACGGTCATGAACCCACACTAGACCATTCAAATACAATTAAACGAAGGCCATAAAAACAACAACATTCATTACCTGAATATGTTAAGTCACAGCCAAAATTTGTTCCAAAACTACGATCATATTCTGTTAGATGTAATTCAGTTTCTTCTTTGTCTTGTATTCTTCGAATATTTTCCCTTTCTCTTCCATTTTTTATTCTGAGCAGCTCTGTTCTTCTCCTCGATCTCCCTGACTTTACGCTTCCTGTAGAAGAAAACACAAACACAATCGCTTAGAAAACATTACATTCATCTTCTTAACCGCAACATTTCAGTTTTCACGCAAAATTCTTTCGTTTGAATCAATAACATACTTAAAAACTAATGTCTATCATAGCCCTTGACAGAAACGTAGCATTCTCGCGATCCAAGGATATGTAACAAACAATAATCTACAAGGGCTCATCATGTAACTTCTACAAACCAACACAGGTCCAATTCCATTATCAAATTCAGGCCTAATAGATGGATTTAACTTGAAGTTTTCACAGATTAAAGGTTTTACAATCAACTAGCCTCAAAAAGACGTGCACTTTTTCTTTTTTCGCGATACAGAATCTACGCACTTCTTTCAACAGCTTCTTAATAGACAATGGAAGTAACTTACCTGTACTGAGCAATTTTGGGATCTGACACCAACTCATCAGCAAGAGTTGTTTTTCTATTCTTCTTTGTCACTCTATCATAGTACTCTCCAGCTGGTTCAATTACTGTCCCATTCTGGTTTTTTTACACAAAGAATCGGTGTAAGAAAAAGTTCAAGTCTTGATCTAGTTTACTATTGTTCTGAAACTTGCCTGGAAATATTTTTCACCTAATTTTGACCGGGACACAGATTTCTTGTAGTGTATGGAACGATCCATTACAGGTCTCAACTGTAATAATACATAAAAATTAGAATGGTGTTAAGACTCTGAAACCAAATACAGACAACAACAACACAGCCATAAAAAAGGAAAAGAAGAAGAACCCATTACCTTAAGCAACTGAAGATCCCTTTTCAACTCGGGAGTCATCGTTGGCGCAGGCATATCAAACCTATTCCACAGTTGCAAGACAATGTGATTCTCACCGGATAATTAGTAAATAATCCAAGTGAAGAGGAAAGCAAAGTTACCAGTTTGATCCAGCGGTGTCTTTGAGTTGCTTTCTAATCATTTTGTTAATCTTCCTTGGATCAGTAGGTGGTAGACAAAGACCATCAACAAGCTCTGACTTAGATGTACAGAGCAAACCCATTTTGCTTGAACTGGAATCATTTTTCGACTCTAAAGATAAGCATGGAAGCTTTGGTTCCCATTTAAGACCAATCAACGGTTTACTCTCTGCCATTTGCATTTATCTCTGTGGGAAAAAAAAGTAATCAGCAATGGTTTACTTTACTCTCTGCCATTAATATACTCATAGGGTTTCTAACAAGAAGCCTAACAAGGTTCAATTATCCTCTATTTAAGCATATAAGTCATCTAAAAGGAATTAACTTTCTCACTTCTCAGACTCACAAAACTGGTTAAAAAAAAAAACAACCCAATGGTTCAGGAAAATTGGGATTTTCGCATGAACAAGATCAGTCGAAAAACAAGACGAGAACTCTAACGAATCGAGTGAAGCTAGGGTTTAATCATATGAACAAAATCAAAGAAATCTAACGAATCACACAGATTTCACTCATGACCAGAAACAAAAACTAGATGCTATA